GATTCTCGAAAAGAATAACGTTCAGGGAACCTCAATTTTTAAGTTTTTATCCGTAGAAAAGCAACGCGCTGACCTCGTCCAAAATTTCCATCATCAAATTCAACTGGTCGAGATAAAGGTTACTCAAAGAGTCATCAAATCAAATGAACTGAAGAGTTTAATTCGAAATTTTGAAACGATCATTTAAAGAAGAAAAAGAACAAGCATCGAAAGGAGCACACTACACTGAGTAGAAAATGCAACGAGGTTCCCTCATCAAAGTTTTCAATCGTATTTCCCGAGTGATCTCGACTATTAGTACAAAACTCGGAAGAAGTCTGCACACTGTAGACGAAATACGTGCATCTGTCAACGATAAACAATTAAAGTTAGTGGAATTAAATGGAAACTACTAATCCGTCTCTCATTCATTATACAGTTTTTTTTTACAGAAGCACGCATTAAAATGAATCCCAAACTGCTCTCAATTTAGCATGTGCCTTCTAGTTAACTAAAGCCAAGCCTGGGAACCTCGTTTATTTGCATACACTGGAGAAAGGCAACGAGGTTCCCTCATGAAACATTTTACATTAAAACGGATGACAAATTGCTCTTGAAGCGTCTTTTTTAACTTTCGGCCTTTGGGAAGCTCAATGAGTATCATTTGGCAAGGAGAAATACTTATGGCAGAAGGAAGCTCGTAAAGTTACAAGTTTACATCGTTTTAACGAGGTTCCCTGGAAGAGAAATCGGTTTGGTTGAATATTTTTTTTTAATATAACTTTTAGCTGAATGTTTTTGACGAAGTCCTCTGTTTGAGAAAAAACAATTTTATGTTCCACAACGAGGTTGAGATCAATTCAACTACTATCAATGAAACTGAAGTCATATTGATCTATTGTTAAAACATTTAAAAAGAATATCTAAAGCGTTTTAACGTCTAGAACGTCGAATCTACTGGTAGTTTTAAATTTATCAAATTTTATACTGCCCCTCCAGGGAACCTCGTGGATTTGCCATAATTCCAAACCGTCAACGAGGTTGCGGAGCAGGGAAATTTCGCTCCTCAAAACCCATTTCGCCTTCCAGCACGAAATTCACCAAAACCCAAAACTGTTTACCACTCTCCAATACGGCAATTTCGACAGCAAAATTGTCATCGACGATGTTCATTCATGCATGACCTCCTTTTTCCCGTCCCGCTTCCGATTTTCAGTCTCTTGCACTCGACCGAGCTCCAACCATGTGCAAGGAACATGCATGTCACTTGAGTTCCATCTTGATGGCTATTGCACACTGACAACGAACTAAAGAAAATTGTCTATTGAACTAAATTCCATTTCAACCAATCAACCCCACCCCCCGTCAGGTTTTGGATGACACTGAAAAATGTTGTACTTTCACAATTCCACCTACGATATCATGGAACATTCGTCGTCCTGCTACTACTGAATGCTGCCAGCAACAAAGCAGAGGGATCAGAGAATCAATTTGCTCAAGACATTTGGAAACGTTTCGGTCATCAATAACGCCAGCCGTGTGTATGTGCGTGTGTGTTTGTATGTACCATCTTACACACCCACTAGGTAAAAGCATTTTTCAACCAAGTGGGCGCCGTGCACACATACAATCGGAGTCGATCAATCGATTTCAGCCTGCCACGCACCACACTGGTGAGGAAGAGAGCAGAATCGCCCCCTAATTGGATCCGAAAACCCAGGCAGCATCGTCATCGTCATCCTCATCAGGATCGGAATCATCAATTTTCTCCGGGAGACCACGATTGAAGCTGACAACGTCCACTGACCGCACATCATTTCATTCTAACAACGATTGACGCTGAAAGAAGCTGACCGCACTGGCGTGGTTCCAGTGCCGAAGGGAAAACGGGCCGGAAGTTTTCCTTCTTCTTTTTTTTTCGCCTTGTCATTGCTAATAATTTTTGATGCGGAGGAAGCCGGACCAGGACTCAGGAGGTCGGTCATAAGCAGTGAAATGCATTATCTAATATGGAGAAGGCTAGGAAGGGGGAGGCAATCTATCACAGAGATTAATTACGCAAGATAATTGGTTTGGGTTTCCATTACTTGATGGGTGTTGCGAGGATTTGATCCGGGTTTGGTGGAGAGTGATTTGATTGCAAAATGCCAGTAGAACAAAAAAAAAACACTCTGAAGGATCTGCCGTTTATGATTTACAGTCCGTTAGTTCCAAACAAGGACCGTGAATTTGACTAATTGGAGGCTTTGACAGAACAATGGAAATGCTAAATTATCTTTACTGTGGCGATTGGAGCACTTTTGTCTTCCAGGGAACCTCGTTGGATTGATCATGATGGTTTAGTTCACCGAGGTTCCCAGGAACTGCGTTGGAAAGCCACTAAAGGACCATCAACGAGGTTCCCTGAGAATTATTAAGGCTACACTGAGGTTAAAATAAGAGGAAGGATCTGTTGTTTTCGATGGCAGGATTCACTTCATGAATTGTTTGAAGAAAGTTGCTTAATTTCAACCAAAAATTTCTTCTCTAGAATAATAACACGTAGAATATAATAATATTGACATCAGCGTAAACTTCGATTTTTTAAAACGAAATAATGTTGGAAAATCAAAAATTATAATCCGTTTGATTTCACCATCATCACCTCGTTACTTTGCAATGGAAGCCACTGTCAAGCGAGGTCCTCTTTTCAGAAAAAAAATACAATGGAAGGATTTAAAAAAACAAATCGTTAAAGGTAAATTTTGTCTTCCATGAAGGAACAGGCTAATTTAGAATGTTTTGAGGTTCCACCAAAGAAAATTTCATCTAATCAATTAAAAATTTGTTACTTTATGATTTCAGGACATCTGTACAACATTTAAAAGTTGAGTTTGGCGAAGTTCTATGTCAGGAAAATTCTTTATTTGGAATGAAAATTATAATGACTATCTTTTAATTTAATTAACTTTTAATAATTGGAAGCATTGAATTCCTACTTCAAATGAGGTTTCTTGCAAGGGAAAATTTGTCATCTGAAATTCATTCAGTAAGATTGTTAATCTACAGGGAAATTTAGAATTCTTATTTTGAGATTCCGTTCTTTAATCGAAAATTAGGATCAGATTGACGAAAATTCTCACCAAGGACTTTCACTGTCTAAGTTTGCCGAGTTTCCCTGAAGGTTAACTTTCCTGATATAGGAAAAAATCCAATAACGGTGCAGAAAATAGCATCGCATGGCAACGAAAGACAAATTCTCCAATTACACTAGGGGAACCTCGTTTAACCATAACGAAAACTGTTATTCGAGGATCACTAGAAGAACATTCCGTTCTTCTGAAAACCACGAATCCTCCAAATCGCAGCAACAAAAATAATTTCACCTGAGACAACTTTCCCGAAGATTTATACGATACATCTATTCCACGTCTTCAACCGACCCCAAAACTTCCTCCAAAACTTATCGGAACGGAAATGAGAATCCCATTTGACAGGCTACCACCCGTTCATAAATTTCCCGAACCATCCCAAGATGCTCATGAAGCAATCAAAAACCATCGCTATCACCCTCAACTGCTGCACCTGCTGTTCGGGGGTTCATCAGCCCTATCAGCAGTACGTGCCACAGCCCCGTCGTCGTCGGTCGGTTGGTCGGTCGGAATGCACGCACGTGACTCGTCGTCATCTTCATGTTTCATCTTTGCTACACCTGACACCGACCAACGACGACGGCGGCGGCCAGTTTCACAGAAAGGCCCCATAATTCAATCAAGTCCAGACACCCTCATCATAATTTCACAAAACTGCTCCAAACCGGGGAAAGGACGAAATGAAGGCAGAAGAAATGCGAAACTATCTTCGAATTAATTTCTGCCGTTTCCTTGTAGCCTGTTTTTGCCTTATTCCTAGCAGAGCGGAGTAATTTAATACATTTTTCCGACGACTCACTCGGGCCAGAGAAAGAGAGTTCACCGCAAATAGCCTTCCCGTCGTCGGTCGACGCGACGAGTTGGTAGAATTCATCTTCATTATCATTAAATCTGCCGGTTGCTGGCTGGTGGTGAGCTTTCTAGCTTTTTTTTTAAAGAACTACCCTTCAAAGTTACGCCTCAGATGGTTCCGTTTCGTCGCTAATGGGTTGGGTAAAATTTAAGTGAACGGGAAGAAGTTGATGCTAATGTTTGTTTAAGAAAGTTGGAGTGTAGTGCAGTATGAGAAATTTTCATAGAAAATGATCCTAGTACTCAGGCAAGTAAAGAACTTCAAGGACACCTCGCCGGTTTCCATCAACTCCACTGAGCCAACGAGGTTTCCTGGAAGGCAAATTTGTTTGAATGGTTGTCAAAAACATTGCCTTTGAAGCATATTTACCCAAACAATGTCCTTTTCAAAGATTTCATCCCCCTTTGATGTGCTACCACTATCAACGGAGTTAGTCAACATTCAGCCGTAATCCACGCTCTACACGCTCGGCTGATGCAAATTCCCCTTAATTCAATCCCTTTACGCGAGGACTGCTGCACCACACCATACACAGTCAGTATCTTTGAAATGTTGATGAGATAGCGAGCAAAAAGCTTTTAACCTGTTCCGCATGGCGGACAGAAGGAGTGCCACGGTCCGTCGTCGTCGTCGTCGTCCTCGACGTCGTCGTGGATTCTTCATTAGCAGAGATTTCATTCGCGTTTTGCTTTCGTCTTTCTCTTCCTACCAATGTAATACAGCGCAATGCCGGGGGTCTGAAAGGTGCAACCCCGCAGCGCAGTGCTACTCAAGATGAATTTTCAACGACGACGGCTCTACTTCGACACGCTGGATGCTTGAGTTTTCCGACGTTCAGAAAAAAGGATTATAAGTTTTCCATTCAATTACGTTGACTAGCACGCGCTGTAACAGTGTGAAAATTTTACCAGCTAATTGCACAAAGAAAAAGCGAAGCGGGTAGAAGAAGCTACTCAATGTTGTAGCAGTGCGGCGGCTAAATGAGACGACGGGTTTGAAAGCTTTTAGCCTTGGGAGTCAAGAACGACAATACTCACAATACTAACAGTCTGTTGTTCAATTCCGTTGGAGATTCCGGACACTGGGCCTCCAGCGGCACCGCCGACGCCGCTGCTGGTGATGGCACTGCTGACTGCTGTGGTACTGCTGGCGGTTACCGCACTGCTGACGATCGCCGAGAGCGACGGCAGCGAGACGGCGGCCAGCGACGTCGGTGCCGGAGCACCGGCACCCGGCGGAACGCCTAATACTGATGGGGAGCTGTACTGGCTGACAGTCTGAAATTGGAAATGGAGAACCGAATAAGGATCATTCTGTCTGTAAGGATTTCAATTGAGAACAACGAAGTTCCCTAAAGTAAATTCATCGTGATAAATTTGAAAAATATCCGCATAGCATCTAGTTCGATTATTTACTGATTTCTGAGGTTCAATGCCAGGTACTCAGGGATCTATTTGAAGAAATTTCCTCAAAATTTCACTGAAGTTCCTTGAAAAATTCTCTGAGTTTTTCTGAACTACTTTGAAGCTACCTGAACATCTTAAGATGACCTTCTCTAAAGATTCTAAAGCATACTGGGTTAACATCCATACCCCTCACGCCAAAGCCACGAGTTCAAATCTCATCCCGGACACATGACCCAAGAATGTTAAAGTGACTATAATAAAACAAAAGCAAAGTCTGAAGATTTACAGAAACTTTCTAAAAACTCACCTGGAGTTTCTTAAAAACTTCTCTGCCGTTTCCTGAAACCTTCTTCAAAGTATCCTACACATTACTCAGGAACTTTTGAGAAGGTTTCAGAAAATTTCAAAGGAATTTTAAGGAAAATCCCAGCGTACATCAAGCTGGAAGCTCCTCCTGAAAACTTCTCGGAAGTGCTGTTAAATTTTTTGAAAATTTATTTGAATGCCCAGATTTTCTTAAAAATTCATTTGAAATTCTCTGACACCTTCTCGAAAGTTTCCTGCAAATATCACTAAAGTTCCTTTCAAGCTTGTTGAAAACTTTCTTGACATCTCTTGAAAACCCTTTGCTGGAATTGCCTGAAAACTTCTCAGAAATTTACAAAGAACTTCCCTGGAGTTTTTTTTTTCAGGGATGCTTTCTGGGAGCTTCAGAGAATATTTCAGGTACGAGAACCTTCGAGAAGTTTTCTGGGTAGTTCAGAAGTTGCTGGGAACTTCAGAGAAGTTTTCTGGAAAAATCGGATAATTTTTCTGGGACCTTCAGAGAAGTTGCTAGGAGCTTCAGAGAACTTTTTTTTTGTGAGTTGCAGGGATGTTTTCTGGATACTTCAAAGAAGTTTTCTGGGAATTTAAAAAAAAGTTTCTGGGAACTTCAGAAAAGTTTCTTGGAAACTTGAGAGAAAATTTCTGGGATCTTTTGTGAAGTTCATGGAACTTCAAAAAGGAAGTTCAGAGAGCATTGAAAATGTTTTCAGAGCATTTCAGAAAAAGTTTTTAAGGAACTTCAGATAAGTTTATAGGAACTTGGAAGAACAGAACAACAGAAAAGTATTGGGAATTTCAGAGAGGTTTTGAAGGAACTTTAGAGATGTTTTCTGGGATCTTCAGAGAAGTTTACTTGGAACTTGACAGAAGTTATAAGGGAACTTCACAGAAGTATTCTGGGAACATCATGCAAGATTTTTTTAGAAACTTCAACAACTTAGAACTTCCTAAAAAAAAATACTTCAAACAAGTTTTCTAAGATACTCAGAGCATTTTTCTTGAAACTTCAGGGAAGCTTTCTGTTTGCTGCAGATAAGTTCTCTGGAAATTTCGGAAAAGTATTGTGGGAACTCCGGAAATTATTATGGGAACTACAGAAAAGTATTCTGAGAACTTAAGAAATGTTTTCTAAGGAAATTCAGAGAGCTTAAGCTTGACAGGGAACTTCAAAGTAGTATTCTGAGAACAACAGCGAAGTTTTATATCTGCTTCAGAGAAGTTCTCAAGGAACTTCAGAAAAGTACTGTGTGATCTGCAGGAAGTTAAGTTCTCTATGAACTTAAAAAAAAACCCTGAAATTTCGGAGAAGTTTCGAAGGAATTTAAGAGAAGTTTTTTGGGAACTCCAGGCATGTTCTCTGGGAACTTCAGAAAAGTATCCCAAAATACTTCAGCAAAGTTTCCTGGGAATTTTGAAGAAGTTTCAAGGAACTGCAGACCAGTTTTTTGAGAGCTATAAAAAGTATTGTGGTAAATTCCGAGAATTTATCAAAAACAGAGAACTTCAGAAAAAAAACATGAAATACGCTTTCTGAGAAACTCAACGCATTTTTCTTGGAACTTCAGGGAAGCTTTCTGTTGGGCTCAGAGAGGTTCACTGAGAAATTCAGAAAAATATTGTGACAACTTCAGAAAATTATTATGGGAACTTCAGAAAAGGTTTCTGTGAACTTCAGAGATGTTTTCAATGGAAGCTTAGAAAACATTTCAGGCAAGTTTTTTTTAAGCTTCATAGAAGTAGGGGAAATGGCTTTAATGTTGGCCAATAGATCTAAGATTGGATCCGTAGCTAAAAATCTGCTATTTATCCATTTTATCTAGATGAACGCGTCATTGGGACGGTACTAATGGATATTTTTGGTCGCTATCGGGAATTTGGTCGATTGCTGAAATTATGTATGGGTCCAAATTAGAGGCATTTAGGCCGACATTACATCCATACCTCTATTCTGCGAAATTCCGAGAATTTTTCAAAAACTGGAAATTTTACAAAAAGTACTTGAAATAAGTTTTCTAAGAAACTCAAAGCATTTTTTTGGTAACTTCAGGAAAGTTTTCTGTTTGCTTCAGATAAGTTCTCTGGGAACTTCAGAAAAGTTTTATGGGAGCTTCAGAGATGTTTTCTAGGGTAATTCAGATAATTTTTCTGGGAACATCAAGGAAGTTTAGGGAACTTCAAAAAAGTAGAGAAGTTGTTAGGGAACTTCAAAAAAGTATTTTGGGAATATTAGGGAAGTTTTCTGTCTTTTCTGAAAAGTTATCTGGGACTCCAACAAATAATTGTGAGAACTTCAGACAAATTTACTGGGAACATTGGAAAAGTTGTGAGGGAAGTTTGTTGGGAACTTCAGGGAAGTTTACTGTTTACTTCAAAGAAGTTATATATGAACTTCAGAAAAGTATAATAGGAATTTTTGAAAACTTTTCCTGTGAAATTCAAAGTAAAAAGTGATATCAGGTATCAGAGTGTTTGTTCCCCTGCTGAAGAATTTCTAAGAAGTTTTGAAGGAACTTCAGAGAAGTTTTCTTGGGAAATTCAGAGAAGTTATCTGAGAACTTCAGGGAAGTTTTCAGCAAACTTCAGAGAAATTGTTCAGGAACTTCACATACGTTTTCTAGGAACCTCAGGGAAGTTTTCTCTATGCTCCAGAGAAGTTCTGTGGGAGCTTCAGAAACGTATTTTGGGAACTTAAGCAAAGTATTGTGCGAATTTCAGAAAAGTTCCCTGGGAATTTAAGAGAAGAAGAAAGTGTTAGAGAAGTTTTCTGAAAAAAAACTTAACATTAAATGAGTTTACTGTTTACTCCAGAAAAGTTCAGAAAAGTATTGTGGCAGCTTCATACAAGTTTTCAAGGAATTTCAGAAGTTTTCTTAACGCTCCAGAGAAGTGTTCAGGGAACTTCAGAGAAGTTTTCTGCGAACTTCACTGTTTCAGTTTCAGTTTTCTGGGAACTTCAGAAAAGATTTATTTTCTGGGAATACCAAAAGTTTTCTTATTGCCTGCGAACTTCAGAAAATAATTGTGGGAACTTCAGAAGTTTCCTGGGAGTTTCAGTGAAGTTTTGAAGGAACTTCAGAAAAATTTTCTTCAAATAAGCTTTCTGGGAAATTAGGCGATTTGTCTGGGAACTTCAGATAAGCTTTCTGTTTGATTTGGATAATTTTCAGTGGGCTAAAGGAAAGTATTGTGGAAAGTTCAGAAAAGTAGTATGGGAACTTCAGAAAAAAATCCTAGGAATTTTAGAGCAGTTTTCTAAGATCTTCAGAGAAGTTTTCTTATGATATTCAGAGAATTTTTATGGTAACTTCAGAAAAGTATTGTGAGAACATCCGAAAAGCTCCCTAAGAATGTTAGAGAAGATTTGAGGCAACTTCAGATGTTTATTGTTTACTTCAGATAAGTTATCAGGTAACTTCAGATAAGTTATCAGGTAACTTCAGAAAAGTATTATGGGAACAAGTCTTGTAAGCGGTCACCGTAGTCGACACATTTTTATGATGTTCGACTGCCTTTGCCAAGCTATCAAATTACAATACCAAACTAAAATGTCATATGACAGGCTCTGTCATACGACACTGTCGCCGAAGACCGTCACGAGTGTATGTATTTTAGTTTATCTCATAATAGCAAGCAACGATGTCCGGGTAATAACATTTCCGATCACAAATGGTTTAATTTACACCAAATTTAGGAATTAGAACGAAATCACACATGTCACATGATAGTTATTTGCAAGGTTGCAAAGACTCATTTCAGCTAAAATAATGTTTTTCGGAATAATAAAACCAAAAGATGGTATGATGGCATGTTTAACTTGTAACTTACAAGAAGAGGTTACAAAGTATGCGTTGGAAACATAAAACCTGTAAATTTTGCTTTCTATGAGTCACAATCAGCGATTTGCTGATCGCTGAGTGAGTGAGTGAGTGAGTGAGTGAGTGAGTTTGTGAAAAATCGCTGATTGTGACTCTCATGAAGTGAAATAAACAGGTTTAATATGTCAAACACATTCTTTGCAACCTCTTCTTGTATCCTACCAATTCAAAATTTGATCATGGCATCTAATTATTTCATAATTTAGAAAAACATTGTTTTAGCTGAAATGAGTGTTTGCAACCTTGGTTATTTGATAATTTTGTTTTTACTCGAATGTTGTTCTACCGTTTGTGTTGTGTATGAGAGACCACGGGAGAACATGAGAGTACGAAAACAAACAAACTGTCACGCACGACAACGAAGCGAGTGTAGTAAAAAACGTCAACAGTTTCAACCCCTGGTGGGAACTTTAGAAAAGTTTTCCAGGAATTTCTGAAATGTTGATTGCAAGTGTTCTGGGAAATTCAAAAAAGTTTAGGAACTTCAGAAACTATTGTGAGAACATTAGAAAAGTTTTCAGGGAACTTGAGAAGAAGCTTGCCACCCAAATTTATTTATATTATTTTGAGGCATATTTGGAATTTTCTAAAAATGTTGGAAAATGATTTAAAATTCCAGATAATCAACTTCTTCCTTAGATTAATTGAGAATTTACGTGTAAACATATTTTTTTTTTCTATTTTATCATGAACAAATGTTGGACTCTAAACAGCTAACTTTTTGCGGTTTTTTTGAGTCCAACTTTGTGCCATGATAACATTTTTTTTTACACACAAATTTGTTTTGGAAAAATAGGAAAAAAACAGACTTTTATAGAGTTTTAATTATTTTTTTTTCCAATATTTGTATGAAAAATCAAAATGTAACAACAGTTTTAAAAACTTCGGAGAAGATTTTAAGGAACATCAGAACACATTCTGGCAACTTCAGAAAAGCTCTCTGGGAAATCAATGAAGTTTTCTGGGAACATCAGCACCAGAGAAGATTTCTCGGAGCTCAAAAAAAAAATTCTGGGAGCTTCACAATTTATTCCTGGGAACTTTAGAAAAGTATTCTGGGAATTACAGAAATGTTTTTTGGGAAATGCAGAGAATTTTTCTGGGGACTTCAGAGATGTTTTCTAGAAACTTCAGGAAGTTTTCCGTTTGCCTCAGATAAATTCTCTGGGAATTTCAGAAACAAAAATTTGGCTAAAAATCTCGTAAATAATGTTTAAAAAAAAACTAAAATTTTGTAGGAACATCAGAATTTCAGAGAGAAGTTTTCGGGAATTTTAAAAATGTTTTAAGCGAGCTTCAGAAAGTTTCCTGGGAATTTCATAAAAGTTTTAAGGGATTTTTAGAGAAGTTTTCTGGGAACCTTAAAGAATTGGTTTGGGAACTTCAGATAAGCTTTGAGTAAACTTCCAAGTAAGTTTCCAGGAACTTCAGTGATGTTCATAATACATCAAAGAAGTTCAAAGTAGTTCTATGAAGTTTTGAGGGAACATCTGACAAATTTTCTGGCAACTTCAGAAAAGTTCTTTGAAAAATGAACGAAGATTTCTCGGTTCCTCAGAGAAGATTGTCTGGGAACTTCAGAATCCTTTCTAGGATCTTCAGAAAAGTATTCTGGGAATTTCAGGAATTAATTATGGGAAATTCAGCGAATTTTTCTGAGTACTTGTGGGGATTTGTTTAGGAACTTCAGGGATGTTTTCTGTTTGCTTCACAGAAATTCTCTGGGAATTTCAGAAACAACATTTTTGTGGGGACATCAGAAAAAAAATCCTTGGAATTTCAGAGAGAAGAATTTTGGGAGGGTTAGAAAAGTTTTCTGAGAATTTTAGAAAAAAAAATTAGGGGGCTTAAGAGAAGTTTCTAGGAAATTCAAATAATTTATCTGGGAGCGTTAGCAAAATTTCCTGAGAATCAGAGTTTTTCTGGAAACTTCAGAGAAATTGTTAGGAAACTTCAGTGATGTTTCCAATGAACTTCAGGGAAGTTTTCTTTTTGCTTTACCGAAGTTCTCTGGGAACTTCAGGAAAGTGTTGTGGGAACATTAGAAACGATATCAGAGCACTTTATACAAGTTTTCAAGGAGCTTCAGAGAAGTTTTGAGGAACTTCAGATGTTTTTCTAGGAACCTCAGACAGGTATTCTGGGAATCTCCGAAACGTTTTGTGGGAAATTCAGATACTTTTTCTGGATACTTCAGGGAAGCTCTCTGTCTGCTTCAGTTAAATTCTCTGGGAATTTCAGAAACTAAATTTTGACGGGAACATCAGAAAAAAATTAGAAAATTTTTCTGGGAATTTTAGAAAGGTTTTCTGGGAATTTTAGAACAGTTTTCAGGGAGCTTCACAAATTCAGTGGCGTCGCGTAACCTCACTTTTTACCTGTGCATCAGCTTTAGAAACGTGATGTCTAGGTAAATTTATATTAAAATCGACAGCAAAATGCACAGAACCTTCTATTTTCAATGATATGTTTCAATTGCAAGCAACATTTCGAGATTTATTCGTGGTTTGAGAGCTGATGCACAGGTGGATTGAAGTTAATCCTGAAGTAAACTCAGTACATTTTTCTGGCAGCCTCTGAAAAGTTTTTAGCGAATTTCATAAAAGTTTAGAGTTAATTTTAGAGAAGTTTTCAGATAATTTTTGAGTAAACTTCCAAGAAATTTCCAGAAACTTCAGTCCAAAAAAGTTCAAAGTACTTCAAAAAAATTCCGAGAACTTCCACAACAGTTGTCTAACACGTATTTTTAATAATAAAATCTCATATTTGTATAATCTTTGTTCAAATTCAGAAGTACCTTAAAGTCAGAATAAGAACGACTTAATCTTCAAGCTAATTTGAAGAAATTGAACAACGAACGTTCCCTCGACTCTTTGACAAATCTAGATAGAGCTGGAATTAGGGCCTAACAGCTTTTGTAAACAATGACTTCTATCGATGATTTCTAGAAATTCAAGGCTTGGCTTGCCCACGCAACCAACATCCTCATCGGGTAGGGACAGAGTTCCACTATCCGATGGTTATGTTGGTCTGCGTCGGCGTGCCTTGAGTTCCCAGAAATCATCGATAGAAGTCATTGTTTACAAAAGCTGTTTTGCCCTAATTCCAGCTCTATCTAGAAATCTCCTAAATCGGTCTGGTGAAATTCCTACAAACCTGCTATACATCACATCGATAATTGAAACCCATCCTTAAATCCAAACCCCCCACCGGATACCTACATTTCTGAGTGTCTGTGAGTTGGCAAGCTGAGCGGCAGCTGCCGCGGCCACCGCCTGCTGCTGTTGCTGCTGATGATGTTGTTGCTGCTGCTGCTGGTGGTGTTGTTGCTGCTGCTGTTGCTGGTGCTGCTGCTGTTGCTGTTGCTGGTGCTGCTGGTGCTGCTGGTTGAGTTGTTCCTGGTGCTGTTTGAGGCTACTGAGCTGGTGTTCGGCAACGGTCATGGCCAGGCCACCGCCTCCACCGGCCACACCTCCACCACCGGTTGCTCCAGCGCCTTTGACGACCTGCATCGAGAGCCCGTCGGCTCCGAGGCCTGCCTGTGCTGCCGACGGTGGGAATCCGGCGGCTCCCGGAAACGGTCCCATCCCCTGGACCATGTGCTGCAAGCGAAGAAGAGAAGATCGAAATTGATTAGTATTCAACGAAATTTGTTATTTCAAAATGGAAAAATCTCGGCAGACGACACCAAACGATCACACAAGGTAGGTATCATAACAAGAGCATCCTCTGCCAACACACAGATAGACCCCGACAGGAGTGGTCAGCAAATGACGATAAACATAAATGTGGTTCGTCGTTATGTCGGGAAAAAAAAACAAACACACCCTCACTAGTTCTGCTCTGATTATGACCTACTCCAAACTACGCCTTGCCAGACGAGTTTTCCTCAAAAGGAAGATGAATTTACTGTTGATAATAGTAGTTTCGGTATCACCGACGGACTCTTGTTCAAACCACAAGCGCTTATAGCTCCGTGTCCGAATCCCCTGGAGGCTGCTATTGAGGCCATTAAAACCAAAGCTCGCCTTGTGTCTGTATCACTGTATCACAGGGAAAACTATTTTGAGTCTTCTTCTCTTCCTCCTCCGGGGGGCCAAGTTTGAACAGCATGTGGCCACCGGAGGATTGCTATTTGCAACAAGAGATTGGCCATTGACCGAGTGTGAGAGCCAGGTGGGGGCTTCGTATTATCATCGTCGTCGGAGTAAGTGAGCCAAAAACCACAAGGATGCTTCCCCGCCGGGTTGGGAAAGTACGGCTACGTACTATTGATCCTACGGATGCCGTTCGGGAGTAGCTTCATTGTTTTGAGCTGGAGCATTAATTGAAGGAGAGTAATGAGGATAGAAATGAGACTTGTTTATTGGTACATACTTGAAGGCCTTTGAATACGTCCCGTAAGATCAAAAGAGTTCATTTTTCGTGCAAAACAACACCAGGGATCCTCGTATGAGTGTAGAGAATTGAAGATGTTGTTTTAGACCACTAAAAAAATAAATCGCAGGGAACCTCGCCGGTTACGATTTTCCATGATTGTCAAAAGGATCCCGAAAATTAGTTCTTACAGTTCCCGAGAACAGAAGATTTGGTTGATAGACTGATTCAGATAATCTTTCCAAAGGGTTTCTTACTGAGGAGAACTTCAAGGAAAATTTAATTCGGAAGATAGTTCCATCGAAATGCTAAGGACTTCTTAAAATGTATGCAATTTTTCGAACGTTAACGGAACTGCTCTGAGGTTCTCTGCTTTACCCAGAAGTTATCAAAACCTCTCTTAAGTTTTTGCAGTTCTCATGAAGCTTGTTGTACTGCCCTGAATTTAAATGGACTATTCTAAATATGTTTAAGCTTCCGTGAACTTCTAAACTTATGTGAAGACCTCAATAATTTTCCTAACATCTCTGAAGTCCTGAACTTCTTTAAATTTTCCGCTAACTTTCTGAAACTAATAGAACTGAACTCCTCCCGAAATTCCCCCTATTTCTGGAGCTAACTAAATTTCTTTGAACTGCTCCCTCATTTTACTAAAGTTCCAGAAGTTCTCGGATCTTCCCTTAAGTTCTTTTTATAAAGTTCTCGGAATGTTTCTGGAGATCTCTGCACTTCTGGTACTTCTTTAAGATCCTGCAAGCGACACTAATTGATAACTTCATCAATTGTCTAGACTTCACTGACGTTATCAAAACTGCCCAAAAGACTTCTGAATTTCCTTTAAGGTTGACCTGAATTTTTAAGTATTTTTTATAAGAACCCGCAATTTTACTGAAATTAATAGATTTACCTTGATTCCTCCACAATTTCTAATGATTTGTTTACCGTCGATCTTGTTTTCCGTACAGTATTAATGCTACCGACACCAGGGAGGCAGTTCCCATACCTGGACCCTACTTATCGACCCATCAACTCATGGACCAGGGATCAACGGCTTTACTTCCCGAAGGAAAGCGTGATCAGAGATTTTATGCCTCAGAAAATCCCGGCAGTGCCGACTGGGATTGAACTCAGGCCCACTACAATACCGGCGCCGCTTCCACAATTCCTTAAGTTTCATAAACTTTATAAGCGCTCACGGAACTTTGCCTTAAATCACTAATTTTCCTTGAACTTATCTGGACATTCCTGAAGTTTTCTATGCTTTCCTGCAGTTCTCTGAATTTGCCTAATGTTCCGGCAAATTTTCTGACATACATATGTATATTCATAATTCCTTGGCACTTCTGAAGTTTTCGGATCATAAAACTCCTTTTAAGCCACTGTGAATGTCCTTAAGTTAATGGGATTGTTCTGAAGTTATCTGATCGCCCAGAAAATACTCGGAACTTCGCTGAATATCATGGAACTATCTAAATGTCCCATGGAGTTTGTTGAAAATATTGGTGCTTGCTAAAAGATCTCGCAATTTATTTTAATTAATGTAACTTCGTTGATGTTCTCTAATCAACTTAGCTAAACTCGAGTGTTCACTCGGCTGTCAACAGAAGCAGGCCACTCTCGATGAGTGTCAAGGGCGATCGCCTGTTTACTCGGCAGCAACGATTTCGTGATCTTCCTCATTGTTCTTCATCAGCAGTTCGATGCGTCGTCGACTTTGGCAAGCAACCGTTTCGTGATGAGTGTGTGAGTGATTACCACGGTTTTGCGTCCATTTCTGCAATGGAAGCTCTCTGACCCTCGTTGGCGTAACTGCCATACAATGAGACCACTGGAAGCGGATCCCGTTCTGATGGAGGAGGCTTATTGGATTGCGGAAGATAAAGCGTTTGTTGTGCTGTACCGATGTTTTGTATAATGAACAAAAATGCTTGGCTCTTTAAAGTGAATTCGATTGAGCCTTATCTAATAAGCTCTTGAAATTTCCATGATATATCACTCTTAAAATATTTTTAAATTTTCCAGATGTTCATATAATTTTTACTGAGTTCCAGACATTCTCTCGGAGCTTTTTTGAAGTTTCCGAAAATTCCCTGAGCTTATCGAAACTTCTTTAAGGTTTCTGCAATTTTCTTGAAAGTACTTGAGCTGCTCTTTGATTCTCTGATCTGACTTGATGTTCTCGGAGTTTCCCTGAAGCTCTCAATTATATTGAAAGCCTCGGTCCTACTCTGAAATAAATGGAACTCGTTTAAACTTCCCTAAAATTCTCTGGACTTCTGACATATTTTGGAAGTTTTCATAAATTCTCTGAAGGTTTCTGTACTTCCCTGAAAAACTTGGAACATCTTAAGGGTTCTCGATTTGTTTTCAACGTAGGACTACGTCTGTGATTTCTATATGGGGGTACACTTTGTGAAAACCGAAAATGGAACAAGTAACGAAATTATGATAGATTTTGAACGTTAATAACTCAGCTACCTCTGAACCAATTTCAATAACTTTATCACCAATCGATCAGAAATATTTCTATGCATTTGCTAAAATTAAGACTTAATCATTTTTCAAAATGTCACTATTGAAAATTGCACGAATGTGCAACTTTTGCTATGATAATTAAAATTATCACCGATTGCCTGCGAAAAGCGATTTCCCTAACACAGACTTCAAAGTTGAATTCCATCCGGTCTCACCAAACGGTGTTTATTCAATCACCGCGTGGTGAGTGATGGTGTTCTCTAGTACACAACGAAAGGTTGCCTGCAAGCAGCGAACTGCAGCCCACATGAGCATCCACAGAAGGAGGAAGAAGCCGCACCGCTATTGATCGGAATCAGTAGCTCTTCGTGAGTCGCTGTGGGCCATCTACACAGATAAAAATTCTGAATTTTAATTGTGATGTAAACATTCATTCACGTAAACTTAAATTTAATTTCACACAACCGAGCAACTTGTAAACAATGTTGTTTACAAAGATGGGTATTTGTATACAATATTTGCTGCATTGCATGAATTGTGCTAGAACTTTACATGATATATAATGTAAACTTATATGATATATGACGCTCCATTTGTGTGCATCATATTGAACAGAAATTTACACTACTTTTCGAACTGTGTATGTCAGGCGCGTCATACTAAAGAGTATAAACAGAGAGAACCCCGCTCAAATTCCTATTCCTACGCAAAACACAAGCTCCTGCTGCAGTTAACAAATAACATTTCTCGATAACTTTTTAAAAGGGACTTATCAGCTTTTGTAAACAATGCATTTGATCATCGATTTGGCGTAACTGGTAGCTCCACTCGGTTACTAACACCACTAGCAGATAGGGGAAAATTTCCTCTATCTGATGGAAGTGTTAGCATGCGTGGGCGAGCTACCAGGTACGCCAAATCGACGATGAAATGCGTTGTTTACAAAAGCTGATACGTCCCTTCGAAAAAGTAATCGAGAATTTATTATATTAGACCACGTAGTCCTACGTGTCACCATTGCGTACAACCCCATAGGGTTGTCCCTTGTAGTTTTTCTTCAGCATATCATGAAACTTCCTGAATTTTTCTAAACTCACTGCTCCAGAAGTCTGAATTAAAGTAACGGGAACTGCCCTTAGGATCTCTGAATTTCCCTAAAGATCTCTAGTTTTAGCTTCTCTGATTCATGACTTTTAATCAAATTCTGTATATTTCAGAAGTTCTCTAAAATTCTAGGAACTTCTTTAAAGTTCCTGCATTTTTCCAGAAGTTTATAGAACCGCTTTGAAGTTCTTAAGGCAGTTTGCTGCAATTTTCAATATCTTGAACTTGTACATGGAATACGATCTTAGGCTTACTAAAATTCAGTAAGTTTTAAACTTCAACATTCAATGAAGTTTATTGTAAAGCTGTTTCTTTAAAACTGATAGTCATGATTATGAAAATATAAATTATCCGTTAAAATTCTGGAAAATCTGGAAAATGCAGACAAATGAGTAGATAGAGAAAGACGATTAAACGTCAAAAACCTCTATAGAACCAAGGAGAATAATCTAACTTTAAATAAATTCACGAAAATAGTGACTGATTACAAAAAAAGTGAGTTTAGAGCAATTCCCTACGAGTGCGCAAATCGGTGTATTTTTTTATTTGGTTGAAAATTTGTGGAAACGTTCCGTGTGACCGACAATGCCATTTTGAATCCAGCCTTATTTTTGAAAAGGGCATATAGAAAAATATTAAGCTTATC